TGCTGATTAAAACAGCATAGTCCTTTATTTATAAGGCATTGACAGTGTTTAATGTACATGCTAACTAAGGAACAAGCAGAATCATAATATGATTTTGAAACGTCATTATCATTTCAAGATTTGTTTAGACAAGTCTTTTTGTTGCTCTTGTTACATTCTACAACCTTCAAATGTACAATTTATATTGGAGGTAAAAAATCAAATTTTTTATTGACAACAAAAAAATTAGTTCTATAATCTGAGCAATTCTTGGAATAATTGTCTGTGGGTTCACTATAAGCTTCCAAGCTATAAGAGTATGATACACTGATAGAATGCATCTAACCTCAAGAATGTGTTTTACTAATTCTCTAAATTTGTAACTCTATTAATTCTGTGTTAGTTATTTACCAAGAATATTACAATGCAAAAATGGTTTTATAGCTGAAATTCATCCAACTAAAAATTCAACCTAAAAAGTCTCTTACCTGATTTTATTTTTATAAATCAAATCTACTTGTAAGCAAGTAATGAATTAATCTTTCTAAAGTGGTGTAATACAAGTAAAAGCACAGATAGTTCATTTATCATAGTACAAAAATAAAATTTATTTTACTTTATGATGAACAATCAGTATTATTAACATGTCTTAGAAAGTGTCCAATAATCTAATTGGCTTTATCATTAATGTAGTCACTGAAAGTGATTCAATATAATAAAATTGTAATCCATTGCCAAATGCTTTGAACAATTAATAAATTTAATTATATATAATTTCTATCTTTTAATTTTCTTTGGTTCCATTTCAGAAAATAATGATATTTTCATTCAAAATAACCTGCCTACAAATTGTGGTTCCAGTAATCTGTTTTGAAATACCAAGAATGAAACTGATATTAATTAAGATCTGTTTCCCATCAAATGTTAAGGATTCTTTAAAAGAATAATTAATTGAGTTGCTCAAAACACTTCCAATGAATTATTTGATGGTTATCTTCAGATAACGTCAGACTGTTGTTGGTGTGTACTTTTGCTGACAATCAATATCCACTCTCTCGTTCTTTCTTTCATATTTGTCATAGCTGTATAGCTTTTAAAAAGAGATGTTAGAATTTTATATATTGTCGCATTTATTTATAGTTTAACCTGTAAGTTCATCTGCTGGAAAGCAGTCTTTCTCTTCTTCAAATGTTGTCTACTTACATGACTCATTTTGGAGATGATTAAATATTATTAATTTTTAATTATTTCTTTCCCTTTATTACCCTATCTTCCATTTTTTGTACACATTACCATTTACTTTCTTCTTCTTTGATACTCTTTTTGTTGTATCTATCACCTCTTTTTCCGATGATACCTTTTTCTGAAGTACTTACACCACAAGTGCCATGTTCATGTGATCTCTGTTTACTAATACTCCTGTCTTGTAAAATTCTCTTCTACAAGAGAATTTCTAATAATTCTGTGGCCATTTTTATTTATTACCTGATTACAGAACATTTTCCATTTAACATTGACTCATAACAATCATATCTCTTTCACATTGTGATTATCTCCTATTGTAACAGAAATCCATGCAATGTTTTAGACATGCTCTGCTGCTCTTCATTTTATTAGACTTCTATAGCATTTATTGACATTTCTTTCATAGAAACCTTTAAAACTAATGGTACAGATTGTGTATAACTCCTGGGGGTGGCTGCTGCTGCCACTTTTGGCGAACATGCACTAACTTCAATTAATTGGTTTTTGCTGCATCTGACATATAGATGACCAAAAAATATTTACATACATACCTATATAATACACATGTAAAGCAGCTTAATATTTGTTTTGCTGTCAAAAACAAATGATTTTATAATTTTTGCACAGAAAAATTACTTAATTGTTAAATAGAACCAGTGTCTTTTAGTAAATTTTTAATATTAAAAACATGCTTTTATTATTATTCCTCATATATCATTAATGTAATTAATTTTTGATTAATGGCTCGATCAGTTGCAACTGTATTTTAGCCCAAATGTAAAACTATTGATGATGATTATAATAATAATCTCAACAATCCCCATTGTAGTTGTAGTTGGAGCCCTCAGATTGGTTGGAAAAGATTCCAGTAGAATAACTGAAGGAATTCCTGGAAGCCCATGCCTTAAAGAAATACAAAAAATTGTTCTCATGAGTACAGCCCACACCTTATGAAGGGCTTTGTCTATATAAAATATGTTGTTTTTTTTTTTTTTTGTCAGTGGAAAATGTCATGCCATCTCTAACCTTAGGTCCCTGGGCAGGACCCGGAAAGAAATGTGTACACACCAGAAATCAATATGTATATATGATGGATATTCCAAATTGTAGGCTACAGTTTTTTATTGAAAAAACATAAATTTGACATTGGGCCTATCTTCACAAGGTGGTGGTCATTGTCTACTGAAGTTGGTCAAATGTCATTTATTTTAAAATTTTACCAAATTTATTCATATTTTATTAAAATTACTAGCCAAATTACCCATGCCCTGTGTGTCACATTTTTTTTTTTTTTTTTTTGTAAGAAAATAATGATGGACTTTAAATCATTGTTATAATTTGTGATAAAAAAATGATGCATTTCAGTATTACTCAATGAACTTGCCAATGTGACCTCCATCTTTTGGATTTCTCCTTCTATATTTTGGCTAGGAGTCATTCCCTTGTTCAAATTTAATTTAAATGAAAGGGAAAAAATGTACAGTGGGGGGTTTCTGCCCTCCAGGGACCTCCTTTGATCAAAATGAAATATATTTATCCAAGTACCCTGGGTAATGTAGTTTCAGAATATATATGGTTATGGATATTTAAATTTTCCAGGTTATATTTTGTGTCTCAATTCAGTTATACAGGTATCTTGTAGAAGAATGATAAAGCTGTGTTTGTTTACAGCTTCAAGAATTATGGCTTAATTTTAAAAAGTTAGTGAACCATTTTTAAAAATATTGCCAGGATATATTGAAGCATATATAATTGTACCAACTAATTTACTGGTATCATGCTCTTAAATGTTAAGAAATAGTAAAATTCTTATATAATAATGATACATCTCTCTCTCTCTCTCTCTCTCTCTATATATATATATATATATATATATATATATATATATATATATATATTATTTTATATTTTTCATATTAGTATTTATTTTTTTAAGATTATCATTTCAAAATATCCTTTTTAATATTTTTTAAATGTGCTTTTTTTATTATATATAGTCTCTTAAGTCTTATATGACATAACTTACGAAATATTGAGCTTTTGTTCATGTAAATACATTGATACATAACTGTGTTTTTTGTATATATCAATATATAAAACTTTTTAAAAATCTGAAAGTTTGGAATTGCATTTTAGATACTGCATTTGTTTATTATATTTGTTTTTGCAAATTTTTATAGAGGTAAAAATCAAACCATTTCCCAAAGGGCTTGGATGCTATAATTTTGATTGAATCAACATTCTCAGATCAATTGAATATTAACAGCGTCTTTTTAAAGCAATTCATATAAAATATAACAAACCCATCTGATTATATTTATATTAAGTACAGGAAAAGGCAGCTACTTCTGCTAGTATGTGTGTGTGTATATATATATACATATATATATATATATATATTTATTATATGTGTGTGTATATTGATATAATAGGAAAGAACAGTTAGATTGATGATCCAAAGCTCTTTGGTATTTTTGCTTTTATTCTTAAAAAAAACTGTGCTCGATATCCTAAAATATCTAAAAAAAAATTACACAATACCATATATAAATAATTACACAATACCAAATAAAATCTATTAGCAAATTCAATTAAAACTATACGTTTAAAAATACAACCCAATCATAATCCTAGTGCCCCTTTAAGAATCATCAACAAAAAAACAAATAAATAAACACCAAAAAGACTGTAACTAGAACATCAATCAGTGGAAATTTTAGTAGATAGCAATAAAAACAACAGAGCTTAATAGAAATGGCCATTGTAACCAGACAAAAATCCCCTAACACAACCTTACATGACTCCAAAAACTTGACATATAATAAACATTCCTACTTTCTTCAATGCACAGACTCCTTGATAATGAAAAACAAACCCCAGATTACACCTCCATTTCCAAACTATAAATGAGTAAAACATTTTTTGGTTAGTTATTCCAAACATTGCTCGTGAATGAAACACTCATCTAAAGTTAAGGCTTAATATTGAAATTAAACTTCACTTGTGGACCAGTTTTGAAACATAGTAATTTCTGTGTTACAATGATGATATATATATATTGTAGTCTTGAGTGAGAGATACATTTTTATTTCATTAGTGTTTGTTTTTAATTACTTTTTCATTTTTTTTCACCATATGGTACTGTTTTGTTATAACATATATTGAACATGAATGTCTTTATTAGTTTGTGATCAATGAATCTTTATTTCATATTAGATACCTTGATATATTTATGATACATTAAATCATAAAACAATAATAAATGCTTGTAGAAATGACACACCCACCTCAAACACTGTTGACATGTCCAAAAGCTGTCAGAGCACCACTCAGTTCCTTTAATTGTATTGATCTTGTTTTTTTTTCTTTTATCTGGATAAATGCACACACATTTGCAATGAGGAATTTTTGTTTATGATGTGTCACAAAATTTAATTTATAAATGTTACAAATATACAAATTCTTGTATTGAATGAATGACTTATATCCCTAATTAACCACTTAGGTTTACTATTATTGTTAATATTAAAAATTTGATAATTTAAAAAATATATTTGATAGATAATTCAGCATATCTGCAATGTTAAGTATAAGGCATAACTCTTGAATCCCATTATGTTTATTCTATAAAAAAAATTCCCCCTCCCCCTGTACACTTGATGGCATAATAATTTTAGGGTTATCAGATAAATTTGTTCAGTTTTTTCCAGTGTTATTTGAATTAACAATTAAATTGAGTTTATTGAAGTAACCTGGGTCTTTGATGTTTATTTCAGGGAAGAAAGCATGTGTGATACAGATGCTTATGCCAGTGATGTAGCTGAAAATCCAGACCCTGAAGCTGATGCTGACGCCTTATGTGGAGATGAGCTAGCCCACAGTGATGAAGCAGAATCAGATATAAGGGGAGGGCATGAACATAATGAAGTTGAAGAGAACCAGAGCCAGCATGTTGACCACAATAGCAACTTACAAAATGGGGACCAAGATGAAGCTAGGAATCACTTACAAGTTTTTGCTCAGCCATTATTGGATGTAGCCACAGTGAACCAAAGACCACATCCTAACCCTAACCCTGTGCATGCTGAGGATAACAATGATAATGACCAAATATGGCCAGAGATTACAGGAGAAAACAATAGAATTGGTGGGGATGGTGGACTCGAAAATGCATCCATTGCCATTAGTAATTCAGAATGTTTAGGAAACGCTGCACCTGAAGATGAAATTCTGGAATATCCAATAAGAAATGTTGGTGAACAAGCAGAGGACTTTGAGCCTGAATGTGACCAAGCACCAGTGATATGTGATGACAATGACTGTGAATGCATGAATGATGAGGAAGAGGAAGAATTTGATGATGTAGAAGAGGAGGAGGAGGAGGAAGAGGAGGAAGAGGAGGATGATGATAGTGAGAACTTATTGGAACCAGCATCACATCAAGTGAGGATGGAAGGTGAATTGATGAATGTTTGCTATTCTCCTGCTGATATGAATGTTCGGGAAGCAAGCATTGTGTATTGTGAGAGTGATGAATCTGAAAGTGGTGCTCCCATGTCTGCCCAGCGAGGATACGAATCACCAGAATTCTCCTCCCCCTCTAATGGGGCTAACCAGCAGGAAAATGTATATAAAGTTAGTAACAATTTTAGCTCCTTGTTAGTGGACAGTAACTCAGAGTGTAGCTCTGATGAAACAACTGTGATCAATTTTAACCAGATGCAGACAAGAGGATCCCATCTCTTGACAGAGCCCATGGCTAATCCTCTGCCTGAGAAAGATTCCTGTGCCAGTATACAATCCCAAAACATTGAAATTTCTCAAGATAAATTATTAAGGTCTCATTCACCTTTAATAGCAGGTTCACCACAAAACATTACACATTCTGTTTATGATGATCAATTAACAGATGACATTGAAGTTGGTCAGGATGCCACTTCTTTGGCCAGTCAAAGTACTGACAGCGTAATTGTGACACATTCTGACTCGCTAAGCACAGAGCATATAACAGCACACACAGTTGTGGCTTCTCTAGATTTATCAGTTTCAAATAATGTTACTCATGCTAGTTCTGACCAAGCAACTTCTATCAGCTGCCCTGCAGACTGTGCTATTAGTAAATCTACTACAGATACATCATTGGCAACAATGACCAGTGCAAGTTCTCCAGAGTCAGGTATTGATTCTGACCATTCCAAAACACCAGCTTCAAATCAGACACCAACAGAGGATCAACTTTTATCTGAACTAGAGGCTGAATTAGATACTCCAAAACCATTACCCTTACACAGTAGCTTGCCTTTAAATGGAATGGCAAAGATTGACTTAAATCAACTTCCAGAATTTTTAGAACTGAAAAAGAAGTTACAATTAGCAAACACGGAATTAGCTGCCAAAGAAGTCCAAATTAAACAGTAAGTATATTTTCATTCCAAATTTCAAATGTTTAAAAAAATTGTAAAAAAAGCGAGATTTCAATACATTATTTTATTAAAACAACTGCTTTTTGCATTACAGTATTTTGATACAACAAATTTATTTATATGTATAGAAATATATTTTAATAAAGAATACATGTAAAATAAACTTCAATAGTACATTTAGAAATTAATATTGTAGCTCACCTATTAATTTTATTGCTCATCATAATATTTATTCATGTTTTTGCTTGCCTTTTAATCATTATATAAATAATTATAAATAATTCTTTTTATACAATCTTGATCATATTTTTGTTTGAAAATTTGTGAAAACTTTGTATGCATGTAGAACCAGAACATTTATATTGATGCAACTATATAAATTTTGTAGTTTCCTTTTAATCCATTTTAACTGAGAAAAAAATAGACCAGTAGTTTTTGTTTTGCAACAATGGATACTTACAGGGTTAGCCAGCATTGCCCAGGGGGAAAAATAACCTAAAATATAACAGCATAGGAAAAATGTTCTTTAATACACTTATTCTTGCACAACAAAATATAGAAATGATTATTTAAATTATTCATCCATAAAGAGTAGATTTTACTGGAAAATAAAATAGACCAATATATAGGAACAAATGATTTCAGCCTTTTGTTTTGACAGCACTTCTAGGTGCATAATATTAATGTTTCTCTCATTGATGAAAAGGTTGTTTTGGGATTCAACCCAAAAACAACCAACATTGAGATTGGGAAAACATGGAAAATTCAGGCTGAGGTCATCAGTGTTGATAGATTTACTTTCTACTTTGTTAATGGTCATGGCGAAACTGTGCTTCACTGGGAATTGCAGTCACTGTAAAGTAAAGGCAAATCTGTTGGAATGACTGTTGAAGTCACTTGATTTCAAAAGGCATGTTTTTTTTGGGGGGGGGTATTAGGGAAATTCTTTTTGCCTATCCAAGTTTGGATAGTTGTCTTGATAATATGTGAGAAAAGCTGCTTGACATTGAGGAGAGTTCTAATGCACAACTTTGGAAAGTCAAGATTTTTTAGAAGCATAGTCCCAATTTTTAGATGAAGCCTGTTGGGAGGAATATCACACAGTTCAAGAGAGCTGTGAAATTCAATCAGATTCTGAAAAAAAATTCAAAAGTGTTTGAAACACTGCTAATTGACAATGAAGTTGAAATCAATGGGAAATACCTGGAACAATGGGACTGGGTACAATTAATAAAAATTTGAAAATGAACCTTTACCACGCTAATTTCTTTCTAGAATTGTTCCCCCTGCTACTGCATCATGAACACCTACTGTTTTAAAATTGTTATAACTTTCTTTGTATTGTGCATATAGATTTTAATGTTTATACACTAATAAAAGAATAAATGAGTAATATTTTGATGTAATGCATTATGTTATTCATTGTTTTGCATGCCTGTTTTGACATTGAAAACAAAAAAATTGAAACGTGAAATAAAAACAAATACATTAAAAAATACATAGCTAATTCAACGTACTTTAACTTTTATTACTCCTTGTGGAGTTCTGGGGGTGCAATAAGAAGCAAAATCACTAAGAAGGCTTTCATTTCATCAAAAAAGTGATGTTTCCTTGTGTTTATATACAAGAAGACACTAGCATTTGTTTGCTCTTTCTTTCACCTGCTTGTATTTATTTGTCTGGTTGACATGGTCATGTTAACGAATAAAGTTCTTATTTTGTCGTTTATAAATAGACAAAATAAGTCACCTTCAGAAAGCTTATCAGATATATCGATGGTTGCCAGTAGCTTCCATAAAATTAGTCAGGTATGGATGATAGTAGCTGCTAGTGGTCATCATTTCTTTGCTCCACGTCACTAGCATGGTTATCATCTTAGACCACTTCACTGTCAATATCCACTTGAGTAAAGCTTTCAAAATCATACTCTGAGTCCTAATCAGAGAAAAGCTCCTGAATAAATGCTTTGTTGGATATTGTTGCGGCCATTTTTGTTTATAAAAATCTCAAAAAAATTAACGTGTGTTTAATCGGTGTTACACCTTGTGTAATTAGACGATTTCAAAATGAAGTTAAACCATGTTCCAAAGCAGTAGTAAATAATTTCCAGCTTAAAATACTGGAAATAACAATTGACAATGGTTTATTTATAGCAACAGTCTCAAGGCTATAGAATGCACCTAGAGTAGCAAAGGGAGAGCAATTTTCACCTCCAGTGTGGTAAAGTTTAAGAGACCTTTCCCTTGCTGAACCTCCCCAGGAATTTGTTCCAACAGCCTTGAATTTATTTCTTTGACTACATTTGGCACAAAAATATCTTACAGAGCCATTGGTATTTTCTGTAGTTTGGGGTCTTTTTTACAATTAAAATAACTGCAGATTTAATCCTGAAAATTTATAAGTTTTTGTCAGAAAACATTTTTCAGGGTTTCACAGAATCTCATAAACAAAATAAAGAAAATCATGTTTTTAATCCCATTGTTTGACTGACAAGATCTGTTTTAATCTCAAATTGACTTCTAGTGACCTCCAATGACCTTGGAGTTCAACACCACCTATCCTATCATCATTTTTGCCCAATTCATGACCCAACCTTGAAGAATGTAATTGTTTGGTTGCAATAGAAATCATAAAGTCCACAAACTAATTCAACCTCCAATGATAAAGCTTGAATTTGACCTTATCCAGCCTCACATTTGTGATACCAAAAATTGTTTTTGTATTTCCTAAAATTCAAAATCTCACTCTATTTTGTTAAAAATTGCTTTATTTGGTTATAAATGGTATATTATGCTCTTTGCTGATCTGTTGTGACCTCTTAAATTGACCTCACATAGCCTATGTTATAACTGGATGTCTAATGAGTCTTCATGTCAAAAATTATCTCAGTGGGCTTTGTAATTTGAATGTAGCATGGATACACAGACACATATACTAGCAGAGATCTCCAATATTAATATAGATTGATGCTATTATTCAACCTCATGAAATGAATGAGTTGATCTTTCTCTTCAGAGAAATCTATAAAATGAATGAAAACTTGTGATGTAATTGAAGCAATGAATTGGTAATATCTTAAATTTAAAAACTATTTTTAAGAAATAAGTTGTCAATTCTAAACTTTGGCAAAAATCAATCAATAATCCATGGCATTTTGGATGTAAATACTATTTTCATTTGAAATTTTATTAGTATATACAAGCCCAAAATTATTTTTAAGGGGTTTTATGCATGATTTTATGGTTGGTCTGGTTATTAAAATTATTAGTTGCAGAGAAAAGCTAACTGATACTACTTCAAAACATCCACTAATGTGATACATGATACATTTTACTTACAGCTTTGGATATTCTACAATCAATTTTAAAATGATTTGGAATGAAGTTTTTAATCATCCTGTTCAAAAATGCTGATCTGAGGTCTCCTACTTAGTGAAAGCTGGCATCAATGCTTTCATTCCAGCAAGGAAATACCAAGTTAAACCACATTCATCTCCTTGATTCTCACCTGCATGCTCAGTCACTATAGTCCACAGGAATCAATTCTTCCGGCTGTACCAGAGCGATATGTTTGATTGCAACAGATATCTCTTTGTCTCTGCTCACAACAAGTGCAAGTGTGTCCTCAATGAAGTAAAGTTACTGCTTGCTGATAGAATAAAACTACATATAGCATCCTGCAAGTTTGATTCTAGAAATTATTGGCAGCTCTGCAAGAGTCTGCTGAACAGCAACAAATCCTCCTCTATTCAGTTAATTTGATCCTGACATCTTCAGCAGATAGGGTTGAATGCTTTGCTCAGAAATTCTCTTCCAACTCAACACTCAACTCGTTTGGAGTACCCCCACCTGATTTTCCCCCTAGAACTGAGGCTCTACTGAGTGATTTGTGCAAAACTCTGTAACTGGTCTGGAACATCATTTCTAAATTAGACTCCCATAAGTCAAGTGGAAGTGACTGGATCCCAGCCATCGTCCTAAAAAAGATGCCCCCGAGCTGGCTCCAGTTCTCTCCAAATTCTACAACTATTGGCTTGCTGCTTCCTGCTTTCCAGCTTGCTGGAAGTCTTCCTCTGTAGTTCTTGTTTTTAATAACTCTGAAGAACCTTCTGACCCCTCAAACTATTGCTCTATTAGTCTCCTACTGTGTTTGGCAAAGTATTCAAGGCTTTAATCAATGCTGAAGTGGTTAAGCATCTTACTTCTCACAACCTACTCTTTGACAAACAATATGGCTTCTGTTTTGCCCAGTCTACTGCTGACGTGCTTATGGCCATCACTGAATATGTAGATCAAGCTCTTGATAATAATAGTGAAGCTCAAGCTATGGCACAAGATATCTCAAAGGTGTTTGACAGTGTTTGGCATGCTGGATTCTACATAAGCTTCAGGGCTATGGTATTACAGGATGATTGTTTGATTTAATCCAATTGTTCCTGTCAAATTGTGAAATGAAGGTTGTTCTGAACAGGTTTGCTTCCAGATCTTTTCACACAAATATAGGTGTTCTTCATGACTCTATCATGTGTCCTACACTGTTTCTGATCTTCATCAATGATGTTCCTTGTCATCAGTTCCCAAGTAGTCATTTATGCAAATGACACTACCATTTACTCCTGTCTTAGTAGCAAATTTGTTGGAGCTGACAAAGTTAACTTGGCTTTGCTCCAATCAGTGGTTACCTGAGGCAAGAAATGGCTTGTGAATTTTAATGCCTCCAAAACTAAACTGCTCTCATTTAACCACCATAGAGAAACTTTCCTGTCCGCCATCAGCATGGTCGACGCTCGATTCCTGGAGAGCATCTCACTGTGCCTTCTTAGCCTCACATTTTCAACTGACTAGAAGTAGAACAACTACATTGAATCAATAGCTACATCTACTGCAAGGAAAATTGGGTCATTGTGTTGTGCCAGAAGGTTTTTCTTGTCAGAGTCCATCTTGCACATTTATAAATCTACCATTTGGCCATGCATTAAATACTGTTGCCAT